CTGATACCCACACGAAATGTGTCCACCCTGCTCCCTTGGGTGGAGGATGGGTGCAGAGGACCGCCTGGCTGGGCACTACCTTTCAATCTCTGCAGTATAGGTCAGAAGAATCATTAAGACTGCTCATACAGTTTTGGGTTTTTTTTAATTGCTAGAGGAGACTTCTCCTGGGAATGTATCCAAACAGCATGGTGTTTCTGCAGCCCTTTGGCAGGGACATAAAGAAATGTAATCTTAAGCACTGTCAGAATTTGAGATTTCGGAAGCGCTTGACTGTTTGTGAATGTTGAGTGACTGAATGATGCAACGTGCCTGAGGAGGGTGGTCAGTGGTCAGTCGCTTTGGTGAGACGTTTCTTGCTTTCCCTGGTGGCTGATTCCTGTCCCATTTTTCTGTTGACTTGTTATCAGCCAAGCAAGGGAAAAAAAACCCCAAAGTCTTTATCTACACTTTACATTCCTGCTCTGCATTTGTCTCATGGAGGATGTTTATACTCTGCTGGATGATTCTTTCATCGCATAAGAGAATTACACACTTGCACAAGTGAAAAGTAATTGGTACAAGTGTTGCTCTAATTTGCCGTTTAATCAAAACCAAATACAGTGGGGAAGTGGATGCCATGATGCAGAGGCCATGAGAAGGGATCTGATGTTGCTGTGGCTTAAAGATGATGTGAGAAACTGTGCTGTGGAAACCTGAATTCAGGTTCTGCCTTGGTTCGCCATTTGGTGTTTGACTTTGGTGTGAGAGTTGTCTCGGGTGTAGGGGTCAACCTCCCCGGTCTGTGCTTTCAGGGGGAGCAGAGGGGCAGAGGCTGCTGTGAGCAAAGACAGCAGTGGTGGAGCTCTGTGAGTGCTGCTTGATTTGTCCCTGTTGAGGGACGGTGTCCCTGTGTTTGCTGTGGGCGTTTAGAAATCCTCTGAAGGGAGTCTCCAGGGCTTTGGCGTTTGAAGTGATTCCTGTCTGGGGAGAGGTGGGAAGTTGTGTCACAAGTACTCAGCGTCAGCTGTCAGTGTCCTAAACAGAAGCGCTTATCAGTTAGATGCAGAAGTATTGTACTGCTGTTTTCAGGAGCATTTTCTTGTTGTGTGGGCCTTGTTTGCACACTGGGTCTTTGAGCTTAAAGCTGCAGCATTCTTTATTTGCTGCGCTCTGCCTGAGTATCACCAAGTGGAAGCTTTTGGTGCCCTTTTTTCATTGTTCCTTTAGTCTGGGCTGCCAGAAATTGTCCTGAATATGGACTGTTGACGTTTGCAGTGAGCAGCACCATTGTGTGTCCTGGGGAGGATGCTGTGCTTTATCTCCACAGCACGATAAGGGTCCCTCAGGGCTCTGAGGTCATCGGGAAGTGACAGCACTGAACCTACTTGTCGTGTAAAGCAGATCAATGCAGAGACACGCATTCAGCAAGATTTTCCTCGAATCGTTTTTTTGTCCTGAGGACTCTGGAGTGATTCAAACACCTGGAGTCTAAATCTTGCCCATTTTACGTAATCTAATGTTTAAGTGCAGCGCTTTCGGGCTTGGGGTCGTTTATTATAACATCTTTGTATTTTTCATATATTGCTGGTAGTTCTCTGTAAGAATTAGAGTAGGCAGAGGTGGTTTCTCTGGCATGGAGAATCTGTAATAAAGGTGTGTAAATCCTCCAAAGACTGGGGAAAAATAAAATAACCTCTTCAAGTGACTACTGCTTACTTTCACTCTCTGATAGGCTTGCCTGGTAATGCAGCAAGTGAACGTGTTGCTCTTTTTGTTCTTTTAATCTTGTTTGTGGCAAACACGCTTGGCTTCCTCCTGGGCAACAACAGCCCATTCTATCCTAGGGGGTCACTCTCTGTCTGTGGCGGGTGGGGAAAAAAAGGCATCTGGTATCTTGATGTGGTGCCAGTGTTCTCACTGGCTTCCCAGAGATCCTGTCTTTGTCTTCATTCCAGGAAGATGCGAACTTTAAAATAAAGAGTACAGGAGGACTCGCAGCCATCCGGTGCTCACTGATGCTTGTGGAAAAAACCTTTGCACAGACAATGTTAAACCCTGCTTACCTTGTTGGTACCTCTTTATATGTTTTAAATTTGACACAGAAGATAGTTCTTGAACACTTTTTCAGCAAAAAGCTTGTAAGCTCAACATATTTTCTTTCAGTTTTGAAGAAGGTAATTTAAATCTACATTTAATGTACAGGGAGGATGACTAATCACTGTGTTCATATGTTGTTTATGATGATGCTGTTTATATATAGCAGCGTTCTGGATAAAGAGACACCACTTGGTGCGTGAAGACTGGTGACTTGCACTGTTTCTTGGTGGATCAGATAGCAAATGTTTCTTTTCTCTCCACAGGTTAGGTAATTGCTGACAACTTTCTGATTTGTGTCAAAATCAGTCTGACCTTAAAACATTTTTTAATTATTTTTTTCCCTCACTGCATCTAATCTCTCAATGCTTTGGCCACCAGGCTTTGTATTTTTAGCCAGAGTAGTACAATATACCCGGTGGCTGTGTACTTAACGTGAAGGCTCGGCTGCTGTGACTGGAAATCAGATTTTTCCATACTTGTTTCCTGGCCAGTAGCAGATGTGAAGTGTGGTTTAACTGCATTTTAAAACCACAGGTGACTAGAAAAAGAGGCTACAGGAAATGACTCGCAGGCTGATTCTGTGCACTGGTAAATGCCTCCTCTCAGCTGAGAGTGGCTTAACTGCTACCATTTATTTTGTTCCATCTGGATCACACTTATATTTAGGGATGAGGGGAAGATTTGTTCTTAATGAGAGCCTACACTCCCGCCCATGCTTCCTGAGGAGAGTAGTGTTCAAACAATCATCCAACAGTGCAGTTTTAAGGCTGAATATTAAAAATACTCTTGATATTTCTCCTTCTCTAGGAAGAGTCTGCCTGCGGTTCTCTTGTGCGCCTTTGCAGACTCTGTCCACCCATCTGCTCTTCATCAGGGCTGTGCTGCTTCTGCTGCAGATCAAACACTGCCATGAGATACCCCAGTGCCGAGTTCTTGTTTTGGTGAAAGCTGTTTAGGAGAGTTCAGGTGTATTGTCACAAAGTCCACATGCCTGATACTCTCCCTTTCTTCACCTTTAGCTGTTTGTTTGTATTTGGCCTGGGAGCTGCATCCGCAAAAGGCAAAATCAAAATCTGCTGGGGTTGCTGACCATGTTGTTTGGAGGCAAGGTGCTCAGTTGTTAATAAAGCACCATATTTGTTGAACATCTTGGCAGGAAGAGTCAGACTAATACACAAAATATGGCTGAGGGGAAAAGTATTTACACAGCACAGGGTGGTGAATATGGTTAATGAATGAAGTGTATTTGGAGCCTCATATTTAGAAAAGAAAACCCACACCAGCAAAATGGTAACCAGGCAAATAATCATACTTTGACAGGTTGCTGTAGTAAATGCAGTCCTTGGGGATGTTTTGCTGCTGGCCTAAAATACCACTGCTGTTAACAGAAGAGGAAAAAACAGTATGCCTGTCCCTACAGAAAGGCTTTCAAGATATGTGAAAACATGATTCTGAAAGAGTTAAAAATTACTCCCTATAAACTGTTGCCTTTTGGCTGCAATATTTCTTGCAAACTGATGACTTCCCTGAAAGGCCAGAGGGGAATTTTCTGTGTTTGACACTAAACCACGTTGCTAAGAAAAGCCTTTGCTCCAGAGAGGGAAGTACCTTCTGGGGGCTGCAGGAGAACTTTTCTGTAGAGGCAAATACAGGGAGTTAGCACCAGCTCTCCGTTTTGCATGGTGCCATTTCTGAAGTTGAGCCTCTGTGTGTAGTTCATTACCGCCTGCCGTGCCGGCGTGGGACCCAGCGTGCCTTGGCCTACGTAGGCCCTTTGTGCAGTGGCCAGGTGAGAATTTCTGACGCCCCCGCAGCCAAAGCAAGTGGCTGGGCTGGGTGTGGAGCACAGTGTGAGCAGGAGCTGGAGCTTGGCCCTGCTGCTTCCTGGGGCTGAAGGGGGGCTACTGGCTGGGGAGACTGGGCTAGTGGTGTCGGGCACAGGAGAGAGCAGCATGTGGGACTCCTGCTCAAGCCCCCCAGTAGGCAGGTTTGGGTACCTCCACTCTCAAATGCCGGTGCAGGCTCCCTTCTGCCAGGGCTGTGTGTTTTTTTGCAGCTCAGTTCTGGACACTTTTTCTCAGCTTTGCTTTTCTGTACAGTTCGAGCTTTGAAAGGTAACGCTCCGAAGCTCAGATAGCAGCTCTCGGAGCTGGAGAAGACCGTGCAGGGTCTGGCCATCTGCCCATGCAAGAGTCTTCCTTGCAGCTTCCTCAGTGATCCCTGGTTTTCTGCTGCTAAATGGCTGGTTTATAGATTTGGACAGACTCCTGTTTGCAGTCTGAGATTTTTCACCTTTGCAGCTCTCTGGAAGATGCTGCTGTGTTTGATAGCTTGAGGACTGTATTATCTGCTGTTTCTCTGCTGCAGCACTTGAGCTTTGCAGAGGCAGTGTGTTTGGGTTGTTCAGTTACTAGATGTAGGTACAGTTTTCCTGACTGTTCCTAGCTAGTTTCTGTAATTGCAGCTGTGAACGTGAATTACATGTGAGTTGCAATTTACATTGAGTGAACTGTAATAGTTTTATAGGAGGAGGCATCATTAATAACATTCCTTTGCATGGAGGTTTCTTTCTGTTTTCAGTACAGGGTAAGACTTCAGTGTCTACATAATTTCTCAAGAAACAAATGTTTCTCTGCCTCTTTATTTCAGCAGTATTTGGCTATGTGTTCTGCACAGTCTAATGTGTTTCTGACAGCGCTACTTTCTAATCTGCAGCAAATGAAACTTAGTATTTGTACTGTCTGGGTTGTTTTGGAGAAAAGGGAAGCACACTGACACAATTTACAGCATGTGATTTACAGTATACATGCAAATCTCTGCTTGGACTGTGCAGTTGATTCTACTTGGGAGGTCTTAAGGGTTTATACAGATAAGTGTATTTTGCTTGAAAATGACACAACTATTTTGTTATATTTCAGGGTGAAGGTTGTCGTACTGTCCCGCTTTCCGGACACGTAGGATTTGACAGTTTGCCTGACCAGCTGGTTAATAAGTCAGTTAATCATGGGTTTTGTTTCAACATCCTGTGTGTGGGTGAGTATTTCCATTTTGGGAAGTTCTTTTGCTGAAAAGGGCTTTGCTGCAGCTGGACATAGCTTGTAAGTGACAGCGTTAACAGGGTAGCTTTGATTTAAATTTCCCAAACTGTTCTATTTTCAGTAACAAGATTTACCGGTGCCCCGGGAAATCCCTGCTGGGGTTATGCAGCATGGCTTTCTACCAAGCAATGAACCACAGAAATAAAATGCCTAAAATCCCAGGCTTTTATTATGATCTTATTTTCCTAGTTTGTTTGAATGTCATGTTTTTAAAAAAAAAGAGATACTCGTGCCAGGCAACTTTGTTCTGAGGTCTTGTTTGGTTAGATATTGAATTATTACAATAATTATTTTAACAGGATACCAGTCATGCTCCTTGTAAATCACTAAAAGCTATTTTTTATCCTCCATTCTGTGCATACTTGAATTAAAATAGTGTCTGGCCAAGCCTTACTTGGTCAGACGATTATCCAAGCTGCCATGTGGTATGGATCTCAGCTGGGAACTGGTGCTGTAATAGGACTTGGTGTCTGTCCCTGCAGCGTCTGCCCACTTCACAGATCTTCCCTGGGGTTGGAATCATAAATGGTCTCTCCTTGGAGGCATTCTGAGGTAATAAAAGTAAAATAGAGAACTAGTAAGTATCTGATAGGACAATTAATTTGGTTTACTGCCACTGGTGCCCTGCTTCTGGGAGTGGGTTATTGTGTGGCCGTGGCTGCTCTGAGCAAGCCCTTTCTGCAGATGCTCCCAGCAGTGCCTGGCGTGACTGAGCAGATTGCTGCAGCCCTGGATACCTCCTGGGGAGTCAGGAGAGCTGAGGGGTTCAGAGCTGGTGCTCAGCTCTGAACCCCCACAAGGCTTGTCTGTCTCGTCCTCTGAGAGATCTAGCTTGTGATATGGACCTGGTGTTTATCTAGGACAGGGTTAAGTCTGAGACAAGAGGAGTTGATAGAGGAGAGGGGCGCTGAGCCTTGTTAAATGGAGCTGAGAAGAAAACTTTCCCTGACAGTGTGAGATGATAAACTTTGTTGACAAGTGGAGGTCACTGTCAGGCTGAGCGGTAGGTAATTTCCACAGTACGTGAATGTGATATGACCTAGTGAAACTCTTGTTCCAAAGACTGAAGTCTTAAAGTATTTCCTTTTGCACGTAATGAGCTGCCATGTTTTGGTGGTTTTTTTTCTACAAGTTATAGTTATAGCAGTGGATGCTTCTTGTGGTTCTGTGTTCACTTTGACGTACAGAGACGAGTTGAATGCCTCTGCTTTCCTCTTCGCAGGACAGAAATGGAATGCATTAATCACTCGTTGATCTGAAAAACAGGGGCTCGCCAAGATCGATGCGCATTAGTTATTAATGTCAGTCTTTTATGAATAGTGATAACACAGACATGGTCAGTCTTTAAATAAGGAAACTTTATTAAAAAATTTAATAAGCTTCATTAGAAAGAGATTCGCAAATCTTGATTTGAGATGGTCAGGTTTTAAAATATCTTTTAAGGATTGTCTGATGCCTCTGTTAACTTGCAGTAATAAAGTTAAGCTCTTGCACACATCCTGGAGAAAGAAAACAAGAAGTCTCAGAGTCCATCTGTCAGTTACTCTGTTGGGTCTCACTTGTACAGCAGGAGTTTGAGGTGAAAAATTGTAAGAACAGGGAGTGAATGAGGGTTGGAGCCAACAAAACAACAAATAGATGAACAAATCCCACAGCGAGGCCACTAGGTGTGATAGAAAGGCACTTCATTGCTCGCCAGTTTTCAGCAGTGTGTGGCATCTGTTGGAGGAAAAAATCCAATGACAATTTTGCTCTGGATCTGAGCCACTGATTCCTCCATCTTCTGGTGGAGGAGCCAAGGAAAACTTCAGAAATGACTCTCAGCAGCACATCCAGAGTGGAGCAATTTTTAGCCCTTCTCAAGCTGAAAGCTGTCTCCCCTTTGAGACTGGAGCCAAAGATAGAATAAATGAGCAAATCTCTCATAAGAAGTGAGGGGCTGCGGGTGGTTTCTCTGATATTTTATTCCTCAACACAACCTTTTTCGTCCTAAAGCTTCCGTGATAAAATGTTAGTTGCCTCTTAGTTCAGTGGAAAGTGTTTAATGGCTGACACCTTCTGTGCTGACTGTATTTCTTAGTGAGATGGAGGAAAGAAAGAGGAAGAACAGGCTGACATTTTTTAATGTAAACGTTCTCAGTTTTGCCCAGCACAGGTTATAGTTGCATTAAACTAGTATTCCATTATAAGCAGGAGTTTCTCCCTTCCTCTCTCCTGGGGTTTGCAGGGGATTTGTTCTAACCAGTCTATTCAGTACGAGCAGTGGCTATTTTGTGGCAGAAATACCGTCTCTTTTCTCAGGGGCTGTACTGCAACTGCTTGAGGTCTCTCACTCCAACCGAGTGAGCCCTTTGGCGTGTAGGAGCTCCCACTGACTGGGGAAGGGAGGGATGTGCGCAGGTTTCCTCATGAAGAGCTGCTACCTGCTCTCGAGCAGCCGGCTTTCTGTGGGGTGATGAGCTGTACAGCCTGGAAGTTGCCCGGTGGTTGGTTTTGTGGTCGCTGGTGTAACTAGTCAGGGTGAAAACAGAGTTTCTCCAACTGAAAAGCCATCGGTCTTCTCAGCCCCCTCCTGCCCCCTCGCTGCTGGTCCCCTGGGGAGGATGATCGTGACTGGAAGCCAAGTAGTCCTCTGAGGTGCTTCAGCATCTTTTGTGAGCCCACATCGCTCCTCTTGCCCCTGCAGCCCAGCCTTCGCCTTGCTGTGGGTGAATCGTGTGGCATCTGTACGCCTGTCAGATGAAAAGAAGTATTTTTTCCTCTCTCTGTGAGAGATGGCCTTATCAGGCTGAGCTGCCTCAGGGCTTGTCTCAACAAAAGTGCTCCATTGGATTAGCTCCCATTTCCTCACATGAAAGGGCTGTGCATGCGTATACATTTTCTTTAAGATTGAATTATTTGGTATCTGGAGCCACGGTTTTTAATCTTGTGAAGGGAATAGGTGTTGCTCTTTCGTGAAAGGGCACTCTTGGGAAAGCTGCTCCATGCCTTTGAACAGGCAAATACTCCAAGGGCTCCTCTGTGCTCCCACACTGTCGATTGAGGATGATGTGACTGTGGCCTCTTAAATCCCAAGTGATGTGGCGAAGGAGGCAGCAAGCAGTTTGTTGTTTAACTGAACATGCACTAGGGAAAAGCAAACTGAATTGCCAGGCACACAACTAGAGCTTTTGTGGTGTGTAATTCCACTTACTGCTGCGGGGTGCTTAGGATGCCAAGATTTCTATGGAAGGAAGAAGCCATTAACATGCATTCAGCACAGAGATACCTGTTTTGGTTTGGGAATCTGGGAGCTTCCCAAAGGAAGGACCATTTGCTAAGAGCACAGCTTCTTCTCCTGCTCCGCTTTAGCTGCTGGCTGGTGTCAGAGACGGGTGTGATAGCACCTCAGCTCCACCTCTCACCTCAGCTCCGTCTCACCCAGAAGAGCTGGTGTTGGACAGCCCAGCCCTCGTGTTGCTCGCCTGTACAGTGTGAGGTGTCTCTGCAGTGCCGGTGGCTGGATCGCTCCCTCCTCACAACGCTGGTGCTTACTGGCTTTTGGCACAGGCTCTGCCTGATCACCGGCTGGAGAGCCCCAGAGAGCGTGAGCGATGTCCTGCCCAGACAACCCAGGGCGGGGAGTCTGGTCCCAGAGGGAGGATCCCTGTGGAGTAGCTGAAGGAGGAGAACGGCACTTGTCTGAGCCGTGTTTTTGCAAGCAGTGCCGTTGCTCTGTCAGTGAGAGATGTGATGAACCTTTTCCGCAGAGCACTGAAGATGCCGTCTGCACGTGCGGCTGGAGCAAAGAGCGTGGCTTGGGACACCAAGAGGAGGTGCAGGGAGCCCAGCACAGTGTCCCCAGTGTGTCAGGCTGCCAAGTGTGTAGGAGCGGATGGTGCCTTCCAGGCACTGGTGTAGGACTGCTGCATGTCCAGAGCCTGACTGCTGTGGTGTCTCTTGCCTTTCGCTTTTTTTGCATCTCTGAAAATTGTCGGACTTAACAGCAAAAATTGATCCCTTGATAAAAGGCACAATGCTACAGCTTTTCGGTAGCTGTCAAAGCTTCCTGGTGCAGAACTGTAACAGTAAAGGTCACCATCCCTGCCCTGTAGTGCTGTCAGCCGTGCTGTGGGAGGGCAGACCACTGCCGAGTTGCATAATCATTAGTGCGGTTTTGGAGATCCAATCGCATGTGTGCCTATAAGCCTGATATCAGGAAATAATCTCCCTGCCTAGGACGCCTCTCGCTCAGCGTACACCACTGCTTGTCCACGGTAATTCTGCGTCCGTTAATCTCCATTCATCGTTTCTCCTTTTTGGGGAAGATTCCAGCACTATTGACTGGAATGAGCACAGACTGCTTGTCCTTTTCATCAGACCATCTGTTCCATCTGGACTTCTGTCCTTACAAGAAGCAGTTGGCACCATTCACATCTTCCAGCCAGCAGAAAGTTGCCTCTGTGTGAGGCAGAAGCTCCCAGGAGTTTCAGAAATCCTCACTTCTGTTGTTTTGCCCTTCAAAGTAGCACTGTTCCCTAGCTCTAGTTGTATTTAACAGTGAGCACTTTATTAACTTCTTCAACCTTTTACCATCCCATGTCACTCCGTCAGGGTTTTTTAGCTGAGACAGTCATTCCTCTCCTCCATCCTTCTCTTCCCTGGCAGGCTCTAATGCTGTGCCACGTCAGTGGGGTTCCACAGTGTGAGGATGGGTATTTCTGCTGGCTGAGTGTCATTTCTGGAGTAGCGCAGACTTGACATCTGAGACATCGTGTTAGTGGCTGTGTATTTTGTGTTCTGATGGGCAGCTCCCACCTATGGAAAAATGCTTTGCCAGTTCAGATCTTCCTCTTCCACAAGGAAAACCTTCGTGTGTGAATTGGGACTTGCCTTTGCTGGCCCTGTGTAGCTGGCATGAGATGAAGTATAAAAACATGCTCTGTCATAAAAATTTGTCTGAATCTCTTAGGCACTTCTTACCCCTCTGACAGTTAAAAGTCACTCCTGCTGGAAACAACACATTAGATTGATTTAAAGTAGGCAATGATTAGCAGGTTCAGGATGTGTTTTAACAATAGTCTCGGTCTCACTTGAACACCTTTTGCCCTGAAGAAGGAGGAAGGCAAAAACAAGAGGTGGCTTCCAGGGTGTTTTCTCTGCCTGGAATTCCACCAGCACAATTTACACGCAACCTTGTGTATCCACTGGAGAGAGCAGCTCCCTGCCCTGGTCACCTCTGCTGCTCTCCTCACACCCTGTCCTGCAGCCCCCGAGGTTTGGGGCGCGGATTGCTGGGTCTGACCCTGCTCCGGTGCCTGCCAGGCTGCGAGATAGAGAACATGGGGCAGTGGCGCAGGAGGAGGCTTTGCAGGCTGCTGTGGGTGAGGCTCCTGCATCCCAGGGCTGATGAGCTGCCCTGTCCTGAGACGCTTCATCAGGGATCCTGGCATTCACAGGCAGGCAGCCAACTCCCTGCTCTGTCCCACCCATCCCTTGGCAGGGGCTCTGGAAATGCTGCAGCCTTCTCAGGATGTTTAGATTTTTGTCTTTTTTTACACTGCTGTTTTCCTGGAATCCCTGAGAAAGGTCTGGCAGGTCGTGCAGGCTGTTGGCTGTTAACTCTCAAAATCCCCATGTAAACCGTGACAATGCCCTGGTTTGCTGTGCTTTGTGCACCTGCTCCCCGTTTGGGGCAAATGGCACCCCAAAAGCCCAGGCAGTGAGATTCCAAGTCAGTGAAGGGCTTGCTGTGAGCAGCTGTGAGTCTTCTGGATGGTCCAGCTCATTTTCCAGAAACCTTGTGCTTTGCTGGGTCTCCTCCCCTTCCTCATGCCAGAGCACTCTGGTCAGCGGTGGTGTAGATTCGGCTGATGCATTGAAGTAGCACAAGGGATTGCAGCAACGACAGCCCTGGTGCTGACTCCCTCTCCTCCCCTTTGAATTTCAAACGAGACTGGTGCGAAGAGCAGCTGGACTTGTGGCTGCTCTAGCTGCACTTGGCATCAATCGACAATGGGACATAGGCAGCTCTGCAGCTCAAGGTGTACATTGACTTTGAAATGTTAATGAATCTTGCTGCCTCTGGAAAGATACTTGATATATGATCCTGAAAATCAGAGGCTGCTCAGTTCTCAGAGCAGTGGATGTTTGCCCTGCCTTTCCTGTCAGGTACTTCAGTCTTGAGTGAGAAAAGTCCCTGCTGGGGCCGAGAGTGAGGAATCGCAGGGCTGAGGCTTGGGGATTTGGACAGGAGGGGATGGGGAGGAGTTTCCCCTTGTTGAATTGGGCAGTTCTTGCAAGTTTGGATCTGCTGCAGAGCTCTAAACCTACAAAAATAAGAAGCTCTTTTCTTCTGGGCCAAGTAGGAGAATGATGAATTTGTTTTGGTTGGGAGCTGAGGGCTCAAGGAGGGAGGGGAATGCTGCTTTAGCCAGACCCAGTCTCCCTGTGGTCCCGCAGCAGGCTGGAGGAGCAGCTTTTGCAGCAGGTGGGGTTTGGCTGGCTCCTGAAGTTTCAGCAAAAGCCAGCTGGGCAGCTCAGAGATTGAAGTTTCCCCAAAACACAACAGCTCTCACAGGGCAGCAAACCAGACTGCTTATGGGTTTAGCACGAGGTCAGATCCTCTGAGCTTCGAAAGCCGTCTTTATTGTCAGTGTGGTCAGGGAGGCTTGTGGAATGAGTGCATGGAGGGATTTGTTTTGTTCTTCCTGGGATGTAGCTAAAACAAATTTGATCTTTGGGATTAGTCTTTTGCATCCAGACAAGGAAATAGTTCCACCACTGATAGATGGAATCCAAGTAGCAGTTCAGTGCTGCAGAACTTCTGGAAGCAGATTTTGGAGTAGCCCCTGAGGTATGGAAACCAGATATTACAGAAAATGTCCCCTCCCAGTTTAGAAAGCTGATGCCCCAACTCAGTGTGTTGTGGGTACAAGAAACTGACTGCACAATTGGCTGTAGGACTGGAACCAGCTGTCAGTGTTTCTGCACTGAAGGAGGCTATTTCAGTGGCTACTTATTAGAAACGTATTGGTCTGGAGCATCTCTTTTTTGGTAATGCTAATGAGTCCCATTCCCACTCCTGCTTTTTAATGAAAACAGCATCTTCTGTAGCATAGTTGTGGATTTATGCAGGGTCTGAACAATGCTTTCTCCTTTGCCTTTTCACCTCTTTCTTTTCATCTCTCTTTTCTAACGATATTAATGGCCATTAGACTGTGAAATGTAATTTGCCCAGAATACAGACCTCCCATTGTACATGGCTTTCTGCTTGCCAGACAATCTCTTTGGAGCATAACATCTGCTTTCATCTGCTACAATTTCACCCCTGTTAATGTTTGGAAGTGGAAAGGCCAGGCTGTGTTAATATTCAACAGAACATTTTGACTCTCTTTTTCTCCAACAGGGGAAACTGGCCTTGGTAAATCCACCCTTATGGACACACTTTTCAACACCAAATTTGAAGGTGACCCAGCATCTCACTCACAGCCTGGGGTCCAGCTGAAATCCAACACCTACGACCTGCAGGAGAGCAACGTCAACCTCAAACTGACTATTGTGAGCACCGTGGGCTTTGGGGATCAGATCAACAAAGAGGACAGGTGAGTGAAGGTTTTCTCATGCAGGGTCTCTCCCTGCATTTAAGATGTGCTGATGACCTGTACGTTGTGAGTCTGACAGGCTCTGTGTTTCAGATAGCCTTGAAAAGGAGTTGCAGGGATATCTTCCCCCAGAGCACTGGGCAAAGATAGTACCAAATGGAGATATGTCTCTCATCTGCAGGGCTCTGGGCTGTGAGACCAGCAAGCCATTTGCTCCCTGAGTGCAAGCAAGGGTTACAAGCTGCTGTGAATGACCCTCCTTTTTAAAAGTCTCTCTCACTTCACATTACAAAATATGAGAGTCCACTTTCCCTGAAGAGGGTGGTGTGTCTCTTGTCCTCTGCTGAATCTCCAGTACAAGCTGCTAGCTGTAGGACCACATCTCCTAATCAGTGGCGTGGTTTTAAAATTTCTTTTGGGTGAGGAGGAAGGGAGATTGAGAGAACTGGTCTTGGGAAGTGAAATCTGACACTCAGCTTGTTTCTTAAAAGTAAGCGAAAGAGCACTGACTGCAAGATGTATAACTCTTTTTTTTTCCTTTCACCAAAGCTATAAGCCCATCGTTGAGTTCATTGATGCTCAGTTTGAAGCCTACTTGCAGGAAGAACTGAAGATAAAGAGAGTCTTGCACAACTACCATGACACCCGGATCCACGCTTGTTTGTATTTCATTGCTCCGACAGGCCACTCGCTGAAATCCCTGGACTTGGTAACAATGAAGAAGCTTGACAGCAAGGTAGGCACGTTTAACTCTTACTGGGCAGATTCACCATGTGCACAGTGGAAAGCCTGCTTCTCTTCCAGTGCATCTCCCCACCTTGAGTAGGCCTTATGCTAGTGGAGATGACTGGGTTGACAGATAAACCCTGTAGATTTATATTGAATGGTTTTAAGTTTCTGTAAGTTGTATTGCAGTCTTGGAAAAACTCCCTGGAGCAAAGCTGAGAACTTCTTACTACTCTGTTCCTTTCTAGGTGAACATCATTCCCATCATTGCCAAATCCGATGCCATTTCCAAGAGTGAACTGACCAAATTTAAAATCAAAATCACAAGCGAACTGGTCAGTAACGGGGTTCAGATCTACCAGTTCCCAACAGACGATGAATCAGTGGCAGAGATAAATGGGACAATGAATGTAAGTGACTCAGTGCCTCCTCCTCTCCCAGAACAACACTGATGATATTGGGGTGCTTCTTTAATCTACTTTCCCTTTTTATTTTGTGTCTTAAAGCCAGAGGGCTTCACCGGGATCCCATCCTTGTAGTGTCATCCTAGCCTAGCAGAAGCTTGTGGTAGGCTACTGCCTCTCTGCTGGACTTCTTTAGTCAGAGAACAGGCTGCCTTTTAACCCCTTCCTTGTACTGCTGCATATCTGTTGAGGGACAGATAGGAAATCGGACAGGTGCAGGGGCCTGGCTATGCAGGGCAAGGACAGTCCTGAGTTATGAATTAATCAGATGGATATTACCTGCGTGGTGTGAGGGGCAGGCTCTCTAGAGACACTTCTCTGCTCCTTGCCCTGCGTTTTTTGCACCAAACAGTTTTGCCCTCCTGGTCTGGTGTTTCTTGCAAAGTGGTGCCTCCATGGGTGTCTCCTCTTGCCTGTGGCTGTCCTTGCAGGAGAGCCCCTTTCACCTGGCCAGCTTTGGGACTCCTGTCTGCACTGAGTTGCTGCTTTATTAGTGATCGAGTTACTTAACTAGGTCCATGGTTTGGCCTTCGGGTGCTGTTGCCCAGAATGGATGGACCGGGGGATGCAATGAGACTGGTTGGAGTGGTGGCTTTCCTTGACCTACACCCAAGTGTTGATATGACAAGTAAAACACAGGGGTGACACCAGAGGGCCATCGAGCCCAGTGGCCTTTATCTTCCCTAAACATCTTTTGTTCACTTTTTGAGTATATAAGCAGATAGGGAATGTGTACCATGCTTAACCTCCCCCAGGTACTTCTTCAGCATCCATCTCCGTTCAGGAAAAGGATTTCTCTAGTTTTCTGTTCCACTCATCACCTGATGCCCCCCTAGCTGCCACCAGTGAACTTCCAGGATTCTGTGGCAAGGAGTTACACAGCTGTAACTGCCCTCTGGCAGCACATCCTGACCATGCTCCCATTTTCCAGAGCGCTTTTTACAGGAAAACAAGTAGGGGAAATTGCTTGCTTCAGTGCTGTTGATGAAGTACAGTTCTAGCTCACGTGCTTTGATGTTGTCTCTTGATCTAGTATGAGTAGTAGTGGAGAGGCCTGAAGGAAACATGAAGCTTGTCCTAACGTGGGAACTGTTGGTGGTGGTTTCCTGTTCAGAGCAGTTTTGTGATGGCATCTTTCTCGGTGCTTAGTGCTTTCACTGGGTAGGAGTGTATAGTCCTGGAAGATGCAACATCACTCCATCCTCAAGGCACCAGAGGTGTAACGACAACAGGAGAAGTCCTCTCCCCTTGCCCCTTCTGAGGACGGAGGTAAACCTCTGTTCCTCTTTCCTTTCAGCAATTTACATGTCTCCTGGGAGGGAATTGCTGTCTCAGGTCGTAGGTGTTCTGGGTTGTATCAGCTGCTACACAGAGAGATCACTTCTTCAAATCCTCCATTACACTGATAAAAATTGTAATTACCGGGTTTATGGAGACTAAGCAGACCAGAATCTGAATCTGATCAAGGCAGTTTTGTGGACCTGGAAAACTTGTATCCAAATACTGATTTTAGAAGCGACCTATGACAAAGCTACTTATGCTTCAGGTCAGGAGATGCGCTTGTGGAGGGACTGAGACCAGTAAAAGAACCAGGATGGGTTGGTTTAGGTTTGTGACTTAAGTTGCCATTTTTAGTTATGTTTGAAATTGAGGAATGGGAAACTTTGATTTAAAGCAGTTGCCTTAACCTTTGTGTTTGTACTCTTCTACAGAAAGCTTCATTGTCTTTGCCTGTTACAGATCAACATCTTTGAAAGGGTATAAATGCAGTCTTCATGCTTAAGTAGAGATTGCTGACCAGAAACTTCTCTATATCAGTTACTTTTTTTTTTTCTTCTTTTTTTAACTACAGAGAAAAGTGAAACTGGTCTTTTGGTTATTTAATATTTTGCTTATAACCTGCAGTGGTTGTCTTTTGCACGAAAAGTAAAATTGGGCTTTAAAATGTGCAAACTCACTATTTCATATGCATTTTACTTTATTATATTCACTTGTGCTGGATGCATCAGAAATTTTTTCCCCTGAGTATTTTGCATTCCAAATTTGGCTTTCTAAATGGAGAAAATATTGCCTGATCTGGCAGGAACTGATTAACTGAAGGATTTAAAATCTGTGCCATCATGAACAGAAACAAAAGTATTTAACCATGAACAATGGCATCAACTGAAATATTAATAAAATAATCAGATTAAACAAATCTTCAGAACAAGATGCCTGATTTTTTTTTGAAATTGAGTTGGTCTTTTTATGAATCCTAACAGGCATGTATTTACAAGCTCGAAGAAAACACCATACAAAATTCTTTAGGTCTCTTCCCATCTGGATTTTATTGTTGAATAAGAAAACCAAGCTCCCCTATTCTTTCAACTCCCTATTGGCTTTTCCATTTTGAATGAATTAGTCTAATTACTGAAGCAAATACTCTCCCTGCACCTGCTCATTAAATGAAGCCACATGCAGCTACACGAGCTGTTGCACACGGTGGGAGCTGCAAATCCCTTGCTGATGGAAGAAGGGAATCACCGGCATTTTCTCCCTGGCAGAAACAGCAGCCGAACAATTGGTACTTGTGGAGGAAGCGACTCTGCTGCTGAGGGTAGCTGGGCTCATGGATGGCCGAGGTTCAGGCTGTGCCTGCGTGGCCATAGCATGGGGTTCCTGCCACTGTCTCAGGTTGCTCCTCTTGTTCCCATCGCTCACTTTGTCCCTTGGAAATCCCCTTACTTCACTCCCCCAGAGACCTGGATACTAAGCAAACAAAAAACCATTAGCAGCTGTGGGAGGAGCTGACCACGGGCTGCTCCTCGGAGAAATATGAAGAAGGCAATGGGGTGATCTGGAAGCTCTCACTCGGAAGTGGCAGGATGCGAAGAGGAGAGAAGTAGGCAGCTACAGTGGGCTGTGGAGGAGAGGGTCACCAGTAGGGAGCACATTGCCACTGGCAAACATTACCTGAACCCGAGTCCTGGAGGTGGAGTGGCTGGCCTGGAACCTCAGGGGCACAGAACTGTGGTGGTTTTTCCTCTGGAAATAGCACTGTGTAGACCTGCAGAGGAGGCTGTAGTCTTTGTGGGATTTAGTACCTGGGGCATTTCAGAGTTTCCAGCAGATACAGACCAGTGCCAGTGCATCCCGTAGTGAGGAGGCAGCAGCCAACATGTTCGCGCAGTGTGATGTCTCCAGTTCCCTCCAGAGCAGCTGAAGGTGATGGAATGTGGCCCTCGCTCAGCCCTGGGGTCTCTGCTTGCCCTGTCCCTCGTGACGCTGCCTGACCGTGGCTGCCCAGCGGGACCCTGCGGGCTATGTATGCCCGTTGCTGTTAGACAGCCTTCTGCTGAAAATCAGATTCCTTCAACCTGGGAGATCACTTTCCTTTTTTCTGCTGCTTGGCCTCGCCTGCAGGGACCTTCCTGTGTGCAGAGCAGGCCCAGCTCCCTGCTGGCCTGGGTCCCCCCAGACGCTGGCGTGTCTGCATAATCCTAAGGTAATGAAGGTAACTTGGCACGGAGAGTGACTCAGGAGGCCCTGGTGCGCAGAGAGCCTCTGCATGGCCCGGGAGGGCCCCATCAGACTGACCAGCAGTCCCACTTACTCTGCGTGTGTCCCATGCGAGAGCTGGGAGGCCAAGGAATAAAAGCTGAAGAGCCCGTCTTTGTGAGTGCTTGCAGGCAGTTCTGCTTTATTTGCAGTTTGACTGTGTGAGCCATGCTCTGAAAGCAGAAAACATCAGCTCTGAAATCTTTTGCTTGTACCAACTGTCACAAACTTGTCCAAGTTTTCAGATAACCTGTGGAATTAGAACTTCACTAGCTGCTCTTGAGAGCAATCCAGGGCCACTGATCTTCCATATAGTTGACTTCCCGGGGCCATTTTCTTTGCCCAGAGCTCAGCATGCTTTAAAAGCTCCAGCTAACAAATGTCACTGCACAGAACTCAGCAGAAGGGGTGGGTGCAGGGAGTTGGCAACTTTATTTTTAAGTGCTAAAACCTTGCACTTGACATGTTTGCAGCTTGGCAGAATGCAGTTTAGTTCCCAGGAGCAAGCGGAGGTGGGGAGAGGTCTAACTTACTGCACAACAGATAAATGCAGCAAAGTCTGATAGCAGTGTCTGGGGGGTTTGCTTGGCTTCCTGAGTTTGGAGAAGTGTAAGTCTTCTGAGCCTCAAGAGGTATCAGGAGTATTTGTGTTCCAACTCTGCTGAGCTTGCACTGGATGAGTCTCTTATGCCTTCTGCAGAGAGACTATCTTCTTTACTAAGGTGATTATTCTTTATTTTGATTTTTTTAAAAGCAAATCCCTCTTGTTCTTGGTCAGCCTTCAGGTACTTTTAACAACTGTACTCTGTGGAGTCTGTGTCTCGGTCTGAAGAGCACAACAAGGCACAGTTGAGCCAGTGATGCAGCTCTGTTGTCCGCAGGATCCCTCCTCGTGGGTGTGATACCTGTATTTGGCCTCCTTTGTCCCGTAGCTATGCAGTCATCTAGCAGTGGCTAGTGGATGCCCCCTCCCTGGAAGTGTTCAAGGCCAGGCTGGATGGGGCTTTGAGCAACCTAATCTCGTGGGAGGTGTCCCTGCCCATGGCAGAGGCATTGGCCATCTTTAAGGTCCCTTCCAACCCAAACTATTTTGTGTTTCTATGATATGATTTGGGAGAGGGGATGCTGAGGGTGAGCCCAGACACAGCCACGGGAAGCGTGACGCCCTACGGAGTGTTAGCACAGGGCAGGTTCAGCACAGCCCCAGGGACTGCAGAGTCCGTCCCAGCCCAGCCTGGAGCGGGCCTCAGGGCACACATGGATGCGGAGGCTGACCTGGTGCAGGGACGTGTTCAGCCCTTCCTCACGGGGGCTGAAGTAAGCGGGAAGGCAAGAGCTGTTGCTCTGAGGATGAAAGAGGGACTTCGACGTGATAATCTGATAGAGTTGTCCTGTACTCCAATGTGAGCTGAGCGAGTGGTGGGGGAATAAAAATCAAGAAGACTCCAAGACATCTCTTATTGCTTCTGTGCTTGTGCAGATGTTCTTCTCAGCCCTGGCAAGCCCCTGGGACAGCGCCGCAGTCAGAGCCGCGCAGCACGTTGTTCGAGCTGTCGTTCTGATGCTAGTCTTGCACTGGCTCATCTCACCTGAAACCGTGTGGCTGGGAGGATCAGCCAGGTAGAAGCTATAGAGTGGTAGCACTAACAAGGTTTCCAAAAAGGACTCTCCCTTCTCCCCGCTTGTCTTGGACTAGTGGCCAGTGCCTAGAATCCCTGAGATAGCGTGTGCATAATGACTGTCTTGCTCAGTGGCTTGTGCTAATCTCTGTGTGCTGGAGAGTCAGCTGGAGTTGAGAGGGACTAATGTGGGTATCACTGAATGTGTTCCAGGCCCACTTGCCGTTTGCAGTTATCGGGAGCACGGAAGAGCTGAAAATTGGAAACAAGATGATGAAGGCTCGTCAGTACCCCTGGGGCACAGTGCAGGGTGAGTGGAGCCCTGTATGGCATGAATGATGACACTTATGCTCTCGTAAGAAGAGCAAGGGCCTGCTGGACTTTAAGGTCTCACTGGGAATTATCCTTTGTTGAATCCTTATGTCAGACCTATAGTGACAGCTTTCTCTGCTTATAAGGGCTGTTAAACCTATTGGAGGAGTAAACAGTTGGGGAACGTGGGAAGAGACCTTTGTTTCTGCCCCCATCTTACTCCTTATCCTGTCTTCTTACAGTGGAGAATGAAGCTCACTGCGACTTTGTGAAGCTGCGGGAGATGCTGATCCGTGTGAACATGGAAGACCTTCGCGAACAGACCCACACACGCCACTATGAGCTGTACCGGCGATGTAAACTGGAAGAGATGGGTTTCAAGGACACTGATCCAGACAGCAAGCCTTTCAGGTAGGATCCCTGGAGGAGACAGGAGAGCTCGAGAGAGGCCTTGCTGGATGCGCTGCGTGTGTGTGTGTGTATGCCTGTGTCCTTGAGAGAGCACGTGAAGAACCAATGCAGCAAGAAAACCTGCCAGGTCAGATAAATCTAGGCTTCAGCAAAGGTGCTGAGTTGAACGAGAGAAGGTGAAAGCACAGAGAGCATGTGCAGGATTGACTGTGAAACTGCAAGTATAGGAATAGAAATGTCCGTGCTGCAGAGGTACAGCAGTGTCCCTCTGAACCAGTGTTTGTTGCCAGCTGGTCTCCTTGAATTGCCCAATGTTCAACATATAAAAAAATGCAAGAGCTTCTAGACCCCAGAAATGGTTGGATAAAGCAGACCTTGGGCGAGTGAGTAACAAATGTGCTGTGGGCAAGCAATACCCATGGTGAGGGCCTGGCTTCAGAGGCTCGGGGGAAGCAGAGTTTATCCTAAGTCATATTACTGGACTTTCCTTTCTTTTTAGCTTACAAGAAACTTATGAAGCCAAAAGAAATGAGTTTCTGGGCGAACTGCAGAAAAAGGAAGAGGCAATGAGGCAAATGTTTGTCCAGAGGGTCAAGGAAAAAGAAGCGGAGCTGAAGGAGGCTGAAAAAGAGGTGAAGACTCCAGTACCTGTCAGTTCATGGTTGTGAGTGATAGATCCGCTCCCAAGGAGGCAGCTGCTGCTGAAGCACTTTTTGCAGAGTGTGGTTTAGGACTTTCTTATCAAGTTTAAAGTTTAACTTGGGATCATAGGGACATGAAGCTGTTCATCCTGTAGGACAGAACTAGATAACAGAGCTTATAGTGTACAGCTTACTGCACCATGGAAGTGCCACAGCCTTGGTTCTGATGGAGCGTTGCAGGGTGGCAAAATTTGAGGAGAGAAACAGCCCCTGATGTAAGCTTGTTATATAAACAATATACCCATACAACTTCCTTATCATTGTGAAAAAACCATTAATTTACTGACCTTTAAATAGGAATAAAGTGGGGGCCTCTGAAAGTGGATTTTTTTTTTTTTTTAATGATTATACTCTTCCAATCCTCTATTGTTAGTCTGTGCAGTGGTGCATCACCAGAACACTGCCTGGTTTGTAAGCTGTTGTGGAAGGAGACTGTTCCCTGCCCTTTGTCTACACAGCCTCAGCCCAGTGGGCTAGAAGTGGCATAGAGAGCAATGGAGACTTGTGGGCTCAGATATTATGGGATCCTCCCAGCTTCCTCTTTTCTTGTGAACACAGTATCTGGTAGTGCTAGGTCCTGCTCACATCTCTCGTTTCCCTGTAGCTGCACGAAAAGTTTGATCGCCTGAAGAAGTTACATCAGGATGAAAAAAAGAAGCTGGAGGATAAGAAGAAGTCTCTGGATGATGAAGTAAATGCATTTAAGCAAAGGAAGACAGCAGCTGAATTGCTCCAGTCTCAGGCGCAGCAGGCTGGAGGATCGCAAACTCTTAAAAGAGATAAAGAAAGAAAAAAGTAAGTTGCTAACCCAGTGGCATTTTCTTTTTGGTAATGGTTCTCCTCTACTGTTTTTCTGGGTGTTCATCTTTCTCTCCCAACCAAGCCAGTCCTTATCGGGGGAAGGTTTGCAGCCAGATTTAATCCCTAGTAAGGCTGAGCAGCATCTGGAAGCATTTTACCTTTAGCTGTTGTCCTGAAGAGCAGGGAGCAGCGCTGACATCCCTCGTTGCTTGCTGACAGTGTAGGAGAGGATGAACTTGTTTTTATTCCCCAGGATTCCCTGCTCCTCCCTTGGTCTGTCAGTGCTTGTAATGAAGTGGAATAATATTGGCTGCCAAGGCCAGGGTGTGGAGAGCAGAGATGTCCTGCTGCCCCCAAAGAGGAGTGTGTCCTGTCTCAGGGTCTTACTTAGGTTGGGAAAAAAAGCTTATACTGCGGAAATGATTCATCAGGGAGACTGACAGTCTTGAATTCTGGAATCTGCAAAATGTAAACCTGCAAAACAAGGAGACAGATCATAGCTCCTTGTTACTGCTAGTACTCTTCTCCAGCCCTAAACTCCCTTTTTTGCCCTTTTTGCCCTCCATGGCAACAGTGAGAGATACTGCCAGGGCTTTAGTGGGAGTTCCCCATGCCAGAGACTGGTGTGACAGGATCCAGTCCCTTTGCAGGGCCCTGTGAGCTGGGCTGTCTGCAGTGCCCACGCTGGACTTCTAATGCTGTGCAGCTGCTCAGGAGCAACCAGCTGGAGAGCTGCAACAGTTGTCTCGATTCACCTCACAGTGAGCAGCTCTTTTTCTCCTCACTGTGGTATGTTTCCCGAAACAGAGCGCTGTGCCACCTTAACATGTGTACGGCGCGGTGCTCAGGTAACCAAGAGTTTGATTTCTGTACTGCTGCCATAATCCCCCCTTTGCACATCCCTAGGGCAAAACCACAGTAAATCTTGCCTGCGCTGTGCAGTCTCAAGTACATGGAGAAATGCTGTTAATATGAACAATGTGTCACGTGTCCAAAGAGCTGATGGGACTGTTCATGAGGGAAAGTAGCCTTTGACTGTTAAACTTTGAATTAAATGAGACAGGAGAGGAAAAACCCAATAACCAGAATGAGATCCTGGTTTAATCTTTCTAGTTTTGAGCTGGAGCTGCTTCAGTGTCAACATTCTTTTGCGATGAGCAATTAGTGCTGCCCTTTTCTCGCTTGTCCGTTCCTTTTCCCTCCGTATTTTGATTTGCTTTTTTGAGTTACCTTTGGGGTTTTTTATAAATATCTTTTCATACTGAGGAGTCTGAGACTGACTGGGGACAGACATCTTTCCCCTGCCTGAACTGTGTGAGAAATACACAACTGAGCTTAGAGCCCTCAGCCCTGCACTCTGGGGACTGCAGACTTCAGCCCTGAGATCAGAGTCAGGAATGCAAAAAGGGGAGACGACATGTCCTAAAGTATGAGTAACTAGTCACTGTGGCGCGAGTCACGCTCTTGTTCCTAGAAGTAGTTCTGATCTCAGAAGAGCTTTTTGACACCAAGCACATTCATGTGGAAAAGTGTTGGTACCATCCCTTAAGGGCACAAAAAGGCACAGAAAACTCCGTGAAAGAGATAGGTCAATGCTTGAGTAAGGCTTGGGAAGGTGTTAGGAGGCTTCTCTCTCCTCCAGGAAAATAACCGTGTTAGAAATGGTGCTGCTTTCTTTGTTCTCTAACTTCTCCACTTGTCCTTAGTAATTAATTTCAGTATATAGATCATAAATACCTCTAACAATTCATGAATTTCACAAGCTGAAGCTTGGTTGTATCTTGTTTACTGGTGGCTGGCAGGACACTAGCCTTTTTCTTTCACAGGTGACTCTTTTAAACCCAAGCTCTTTAATTTGCACTAATCATGACTTGGTTTTTTAGTTGTTTTTTTTTGTTTGTTTTTTGTGACATCATTATCATCATTATTAGCTCTCACTTGTGTGCTGTTTTACAGTTAGCTGCTGTTTGGCTGCATGGTGCATGAGGCACATTGTCCTGGGTAAGCGTCATTAACTAATGTAGACCTCACAGTGGGATTAGTTACAGTCCCTGAAAAAGCGCACCTTGTACAAGTCCTGAAGCCTTTAAGGATTACCTCTGCCTTCCTCTGCTTTCACCCTTGCTGTACATGCTCTACCAGTCCTTCTCTACATACACAGTTGTAGAAAAGGGATGCAATGAAGTTTGTCTTTAAAGACTCTGCAAAGTAAAATGCAGAGAGACTACTCAGTGTTAGGACATGAAACCTAGAAAAATAAGGATTAGGCCCTCCTCCTTTTAAACCTTCCCATAACTTTGTTAGCTCCGTTTTCTTTATTCCATCTCCCTTAGAAATAAATTACATTCTTTAATCATGTAGGCCATGTTGATACTATGGCAACAATTACTATGGTGATGCAGTGCTGATGATAGAACCCAGTGAGCCATGAAAACGTCTCTTCCCTTTCTCCTCCTTCCCTCCCATCTCTCCAAGTTTTAGTGCTGACTTGTGGTTAGAGTGCAGGTCAAGGTAGATGCAAGAGTAGTTGCTTTTTCCCCCCTTCACTTACTAACTGATGGTGAAATCTGCCAAACCTAGAGCTTTCCTCTGTCCCGAAGCACCAGAGAATCACCAATCTGTGTGTGTGTGTATGAGCGGGTGTCTTTATGTGTGTATGAGCCTGCGTTAAAGATGCTGCTGCTGAGTAACCAACACTATTCACCTGCTGACCACTTACAACTGATTGTGCAAAACCGTCACAGGTGATGGTCTGAGCATTTAGCAGGTAATGAGGGCTCTGGAGATAGACTGAGAGATTTTATTACATTTTTAAGTCAGGTGGGTCACCTGTGGAGTGGATGTTCAGCTGTAGCAGACAGACACAGACCCACACTCTCGGGCACTGTGCCAAGCCTTAGGGCTAGGATAGGGCTAGTAGTAGCAGACAGCTGTATTGGAGATGTGTCCAGAAAGCCTGGCAGTGCACTTCACTCCTGAATAAGGCCACCGACTGAGTTTCCGAGGAGTTTTGCCAAGGCGTGGAGAGTTCCCACTGGAGCAGAGCCCTCTCGGTGGTCTTACTCCGTAGGTCTGCTCTGCTCCAGTTGCTGTGACTCTGTCCAGAGTGTCTCTGCCTTTATGTGAGCAGGGATGTAAGGTGGCCACATAGTCATGGACAGGCTTGTGGAACAGGTAAGGTTGCATGAAAGGGTTAACAAACCTGGCCATAAGCAAGTGCCTGCAGTGCTGCCAGCATCTGTTGTAAACTGAAGGCTCATTCAAAGAAAGATGTGCAAGAAATGCACCTGCCTGGCTAGAGAGCAGCGTCCTCATTAGGGTTATTAGTTAAACAGCTAATGACGTGGTCTGCTTATAGCTAGACTGAGTGTGTTTAACTGAGACTTTTTAATTTGCTGTTGATTCTCTTGTGAGAGGAAAAAGAAAGCTCCCACAGAAACGTCTCATTTCTTGACAGAGCAACAATACTTACTGTCTGAGGCACAGGTGACAGCACCCCAGGTCTCTTGGAGAAGGGACCTGTTGGAACAGTAGCACTTCACTGTAAAACACCCTAAAAACAGCCTCGAGTCCACCCTTCCGTGCAGACAAAGCTGGTATTTACATTCTCTCCAAGATACAGTCTAAACTAACTTATGGTCTGCCCTTAAATAGGGAAAAGCTGATTCCAGACTTCCTTCCCCCTTAGCTCCACAAAGGCAGATGGAAAAGCAAGTAAACATTATGCTGGCAGTGAGAGGCATTTCAATTTAATTTAAATGGGAGATTCCACTTAACAGAAGAGCTTCATAAGGGTCTTGCACCAACTTGAACTGGAGCTTCCAGTTGTCCTGAGCAGTCCAGTTGAATGAATGTCTCTGCTGCCAGCGGTAACTGTGAAACAATGAAAAGAACAATTCTCTGCTTATCAGGCTCTGACTGTGGAAAAATAAGCTCAAAGAGTAACAGTGTTCGTTCTGGTGCTGAGTACGAAGTCACGGCTAAAGTGCAGTTAGAGTGAACATTACTGATTCTTGTTGGTTTTGGATTGCTTTTGGCAATCCTCGTAACTGTACACTGTTGTGTGCTGGGCTTTGAATCAAACGAAGGTCTTTTGTTCCCACTAAACAAATGCAGACAGTGCCTTTTTCAATGGACATTTGTCCTTGCTTAAATTAAATATGTATATGTGGTACTTCTCCAGAATCCAGAAAAATACTCTCCATATTGATCCATAAAGTATTGCAGGGCTCCACTGTTTCGCAAGGATACAAACGAGTCACAGTTGATGAGTCCTGCACTTTGCTAAACTGTGAAAGGATTGTTTTAGAAAATAAATTTGATTCATCCCACTGCTGAGCGTGTGTGCGTGTGTGCATGTGCGTGTCTGCATAGAGCATGTTCTGTAATGAAACCATATTAACACGTAGCAGCATTTTTGTGTGTGTTAGAAAACATTTATACTCTTATTTTGTTTTTTTTGTCATTAATCCATAAAACCATTAATCTGCCTTTTTCTTTCATTTTCAGTTCGGGTTTCCTGTAGAACCTTTCCCTTCACACCAGAAGCGAATGCCCCCACGTTCGGTTAACACGCAGCTATGCCATTGTGCCTTTGTTTGCTCACCTTTACTCATTGCTCCCTTCCCGCGCTCACCGTTTTGTGTTAAGCAAGAGCCTGCACCCTTGGCTGCTCTGGGTTGTGGCTGCTCCCGTGAAGAACTCGGCAATAGCCTGCGTGGAACTGGCGAGAGCTGCTCCTTGCTGATGCCTCTTCCCCTTCGGGCAGTAGCGGGCTGCAGGGCTGTAGCATCCCCTCTTCTCAGTTGCTCGGCTTTTTGTCTCTCCCTGTTCTGGGCAGGGACCAGGAGAGCGCAGCTGCTCGGGGGGCTGCACCGAGCCTCTCTGGTGGGAGCGCCACGAATGCAACCCGGTGCTGCTGTGGGGTGGGACGAGCTGTCTCCAGAGACTGGCTGCCCTCTCCCCTTTTCAGTTTGCTGTGTCTAACCCCTCGTTGCCCTCGCTCTGCTGCCGCATGGGACTCAAGTAATTTTAAAGGACTTTTTGCAAAACTTGACATCCTCATAGGCATGGGCCTGAGTCCAAAGCTCTAGTTCCCAGGCTTGGAGGATTCTCCAACTTGGATCCACGGTTTGCAACTAAGTGCTCTCTAAATGCTGCAGGGGTCACAAAGGATCTCTTGCCTTGTCTCCCCCTCAGTGTGCTGGCCTGGGTGCACATCCTGGATCCAGTCTCAGGGAAAGCTGGTCACCTTGCTGTACATATCAGTGTTTGTGAAGAAAGAATGATGTTTCTTTGACTTTCTTCTCAGTAATTCCAACAATTTCCAGTTTTAATGCAAAAAGTATTATTACCTTTTTATTTTTTTTTTATTTGGCATCTGTTTAGAAGTGTACAGATGCTGGCAGGTTGCTTCTCATATTTTTCTATTTCAGCAAAAGCCTTTTTTTACTGCAAGATTTGCACTAGAAAGGAGGGTGTTTTGCTCACTTGGGGCCGGGAGTTTGCTCTGGCCAAGTGCAACCGTGGTTTGCCTGCAGGTGCCTTCTCTGTGTATTTCTGGATGTGTTTTGTTTTTAAATAAAGACTTCATCAGACAGTGAATTCTGGTTAACATTTACTTCTTTTGTTTTTTGTTTTCTTTGCCCTTCTTTTACAGTAACCCATGGCTCTGTACTGAGTAATTACCCCTGAATACAATGGGCTGGAATGGACCTTCATTTACTTGTTAAATCGGAGGGTCTAATAAAACGTGACAGCATTTCAGCTGTGACCTTTCCATGGCGTTACCCTTGCTCTCTCCTACATCCTCATCGTGATTCTGTCTTTACTATGTACTGGTGGTTATTGCTTTTATTAAACAATGAACAATTAGTCCTAACAAGGTTTGGGATGCTGCAGCTTTAAATCCTACAATTTTTATTTTCCCTGCAATTAATGGATTCCCCTTTCTCCTGGTCCCTCTCCACCCAGATAAATAAGGGATGTGGAAATTACTTCTGTGAGTTATTTTTGCCGGCAAAATAACAACGCAGTCTAAATATATTTATTGGTGACGTTAAAATGACAACACCACCACCTTAGTTTAGTTATCGCATAGTCGAGAGAGAAAAAACTCTCTTTTTATACTTGGTGTCATTTTCATGACACCATCTATCTTTTTTATTTGTTTTTACTTTTACTTTTGCTAATTCATGCTACTTGAAGATGAGCATGTAATCGTCATTTTCCTTTTGGCCTTGCTTGTTTTGACCCTGGTCCCTCAGTTGCGCTGCGTGCAGGCTGAGGTCTCTATCCGGGCGTGAATCCATGCATGCTTACCCTGCTGAAAGGTCAGGATGTGTGCTGCCAAATAATTCCAACAAAACCCCTTCAAATCCTGTTTTTTTGGATGACAAGCATGCCTCAGACCTAGCTGCGATAGGTGATGCTGGTGTTAGCGCAAGCCGCTGCTGAAAGGAAGTCTGGATGATGCTAAAGACCGTTTGTGCCAACAGTTGGTTACTCCGGCCACTGCTCGTGGTGGCAGCAAACCTGACGCAGTAACCCAGATCAAACGTTGGTCTGGTCTCCGTTTCCAGCAATCCAGGCAGTTTAAACTCTTGGTTGCCATGTAGTTTCTCAGGTATTCGGTTTCACCATAAAGACGATTTCCCATAAAAGTCTTTGCCTCTTTTGCGGTGTGTTTTTTTTTTTTAAGCAAGTTAAAGTAATTTGAGTATTTACTTCTTCCTCTACTGTTCTGCTTCCCAAACCAGTCACTGTCAGTCTGTCAGTGATTATCTGCTAGAAGAATCATCAAATGTGGTTTTTTATTTTACCATACTGCTGTTTTCCCTGACCATTTGCCTTATTAGAATGTTATTTAAAGTTATGTAACATCTTTTTAAAGATTTTTAAAGAAAAAAGGGTTTTACTTGTGTGATTTCCTTGAAATACTTGAGGTGCCACAAGAGGTCCCATCTCTCTTCTGTCAGCTGTTTTCATGTTGCATCTCTTTTTCCTGCTTTTTAAATGTCTTTCTCTTTTTTTTGCTAACCTTCTGGTTTTTTCTCTTTTTTTCCCCTTTTCTCTCTCTGTAGCTTTTTTTAATCTGTCTTCGCCAGCTGCGCTGGGTCTGAGGGAGAAGACTGCCACTTCTAGAAGAGTTTAAGGGTCTTATGTCTGGGGAGGGGGGGAATAAATCAGTGTTAGTGTCTTGGAAAGAAGCTCTTGTACTGACTTGCATGGTATCTAAAATTGAAGTGTCTTGTAATTTGTGTGACAAGACAGGGTAATTCGGGGGAACTGATTGTTTACCTGGAATTTTGAAGAGCAACAGAAATGTGATGTTTGGACTAACGATGTAGCGAACACATTTTCAAACATTGTTATGGGCATATTTTCTTTTTTTTCTAATTTTGTCTTTAATAATGTAAGTGTCACAGGCTTCCGTGAGGTGTGAAGCCTGAGGAATATTTTCAATATGCTGTTGTTCAATTGGTTTTTGAAACTGTGGATTCAGAGTCAAAGGGAATATAAACACGGTGCAATTTGCTCTGTTGGCAACCACAAGATACTGAATTTTAACAAAGAAATAAAAGCAAGAAGAACCGTTTGCCCTCATCAGTGTCCTCATGTGTCTCACCACCTTATTAAACAACCTCCATGGGCTGGTGGACGTGGGTCGAGTGGTTCTGGGTTTGTTTCCTAACTGAACCTCCCCTTGTTCTTTCAAGTTTAGGAAAAAGTTAGCGCACAGCTGGCTGACAGCTGCTCTAGTAACACCAGTAACAGGGACCGCTCCCGCTCCCCGTGAGCAGGGCCCTGTGCTCGCAGCCCCGGCCCCTCCTGCCGCCGCCTCCTCTGCCCCTGGTTTTGTTCCCTTCGGACAGACGTGAGCCCCGCACCCAGTTGTGTCTGTCCTTACAGCGGAGAGCCAGCACTGTTTAGCCCGGTACCTTTCTAACTGTAAATGTAAATTTTAAATAAAAAATACGAAAGCCCGCCTGCGTGCTGTCGTGTTTGCCG